CCTTTCGGGGGCTAACCTGGCTGCCGCACGTGGTTCGGAACAGGCCCCCACATCCGGAACAGGCCCCCACATCCGCCTTCCCCCTCGCAGGACGCACGACACGAAGCTGTCAGCAGCGGCCAGGCCTGCCAGCTGAGCAGAAGGGCGATCCCTGCAGCCGCGGGGTTCAGGAAGGAGAGAACCGGGGCGCAGGGGGAGACTGGGCGTCTGGCCGCGACCCCCACCACCAGGTGCGGCGCTGGAAGTGGGGGCAGAGGAGTGGAGGGGGCAGTGGGAGCAAAACGTGAAGGGGGCCCTGCGCCGTGTCGCGGGCGGAGTCGCCCTCATTACGGGGACGCTCCCGTCGGGGTAAGTTCACAAGGCGGGACGTGCCAGCTCCTTCTGGCGCCGACTGATGCGGCTGCGCGGGTCTCGGCTCTCAGACACCGAGGACCAGCTCGGTGTCCCCGGGGGGCTGTGGGGAAGGCACGGCCGGGGGCCGCCGGCTCTGGTCCAGGGGCTCGGAGCTCAGGCAGGTGGCTTACGGTCTGCACAGCGGGAAGGGGACCAAGCACCCCGATGGTGTGAGCACCCGCCTGGATGCTGTGACTCATGACTCAACGGCGTGGCCTCGCCCTGTCCTCGCAGCTGACCTGCGGTTTGTGGGTGGCCTGGGCTCGGCCAGGAGGGGCTCCTCCGAGGTGGCTCCCCAGGGCAGTCACACGGGGGCTTATCCCAGCCAGTGGCGTCCTCCTCCAGGGAGAGGCCGGGGCCTGGAGGCGCCCCCCAGGAGCTGCCGCCCCGCGGAGGGACAGAGGGAGCAATGCGGCCTACTGCCTCCACGTCCTGTGGGTCAAGCAGGCGCTCCCGCAGCCCCAGAAGGAACCAGCCCTGCACGCCTGGATCTCTGGCTTCCGGCCTCAAAACTTCAAGAGTCCATTTCTGTGTTTAAGCTGCCCAGCCTGTGGTAAATCCCAGCTACGGTGACCTGGGCTGCATGCTTCCCATCCCGTCCCGTCCCGTCCCCCGTCCCCCCATGGATATATGTCCTAGCACACATCCATCTGGCCGTCCCCACCCGGAACCACACGCCAGGACAAGGGACACGTTTGCTGTGGGCACAGAGCATGCGGCAGCTGCTTACTCAGTTCTGCCAGGGTGCCCCTGGGAGGACAGCAGGAAGTGGGGTCCAATGGGCAGGGGCCGCAATGCACCCGCAGGCCCCGCACCTCACCCCCTCCCAGCACGTTTCTGGGGACTTGCATCTGCCCTGCTGAGCCCCCCAGAAGCACTGCTCCGGGTCTGCACTCCCCTCCCTCAGCTCTGGGACGTCCTCTGCTCACACCACTGAAACAGGCCCGGATGCCACCCAGCTCAGCCTGTCACCTGCGTTGGAGTTCTGGGGTTCCCAAAACAGAAATCAAGAGAAAACCCCAGAACATTTTCCAGACAGATTTTATTAAGCTTCTGCTCAAAACACAGTGTTGACGAAAAATATCCAGCCTAAGAGAAAACTTATAAGAGTTTTTTTGAGCCAAACTGTTGACAATTGCCGGGAAGCAAAATCTCAACGGATTGAGAAAATGCCCCACAAAATGGCTGTTTGCAGCTTATTTTATATATAAAAATCAAAGGAGGAAGGTTACATGAAATCCATTGGTGATAGATGAAGGGGGTGGGAGAAAGCAACGCGGGGAAGTCTTTGGGATTGCATAAAAGTACATTGGAGAGACAAGTACTCCTCCCACACAGGTGGGTGCAGGATAGCTAACAGTTCGCACTTTACAGCACATAGAGATGCTAATCAGGAGATAAGCATAATAATGAGGAATTCTGCAGTTTTCAGCTCTGGTCTGGAAAAAGGATTAAAGGTGTTATCTTAGGTACAGAAAGACAACAGGCCCGGAAAAGGCACAGATTAATTTAAGGAGGATGCAGAAGGTGTGACTTCCCACCTTGGCCCACTTAGTTAAATTTTTTTTTTTTTTAGATTTTTTTATTGGGAGATTGGGGGGATGGGAACAGGCAAGTTGCTGTCCTTTTGTTCTTCAGTCTAGTTGTGGAGGACGTTGCTTCACTGGCCCAAGTTGGCACCATCATTGTGCTCTTCCCGGGCGAGGCAGATCAGTCGCCGGCTTCTGGACGGCCGCTCACTGCGGCTGCTGGCCACTCACACTGGCTGCGGGTTACACACGGTAGCCCATGGCAACCCACTGCAGCAGGGGGTGCAGCCTATGCCGTGGCCGGCGACTCACGGCAGCCCAGCTCCAGGTTGAGCTGTTGTTCAGCATCTTAGCTGTAGAGGGCACTGTCACTGGCCCTCATATGTGGGATCTGAACCGGAGCCCTCTGGCATCCCAAGCCAGCTCTTAACCAACGCGCCACTCGGCCGGCCCCAGTTAAAATTTTTTATGTTCACACCATCCTCTGTGGTTATTTTCAGTCTCCTGAACTTTTCAGGTTTAACATGTGGCCCCTTTTCTGTCCACAGCAGGGAGGCAGCACAGAGGAAGAGGAGGTCCTCCAAACTGGCTGGGGGTGGGGGCAGGGGCAGCTCCGTGTGGCACCTTTTATAAGCTGGAGGCAAAGCGGGCTTGCACAGAAGTGGGCTTTTTGAAAGTGGTGGGCTTTCTTGGCCATCACGTTGCCTGGTAACCATGGTCGCACATGTGCCCTGGGGCAAGATGGCAGACAGCTGGTTATGGCGACCCCGGGAAGGTCGGATAGTGATCAAAGCTTGACCAACTGCACATGCCTGGGTTTCCACATCTGTGTGGAAGTAACCAGTTAGGAGAGAGATAATCAGCTAGTTCTGCATTTTTGGTAAAAGGTGTAGGGTGGTGACAGTGTTGTGGTCAGCTGACTGCGCCCACCCCTCCCCCACATTCCTCCTGCCCCGGGGCCCAAGTCTCAATCCCTTCTCTCAGGCGTTCATCCTGTGGCTTCCAAATTGTTCACCTAGTTTTTAAAAGGCTCCTTTGGGGTCCTATAACAGGGCACTGATAAATTGCCGTAATTGACCCTAATTCTACCCTTGGCATTGCTTCACTTTCCTTATTTCTTGAGTCTTCCCTGTAGACGCCTGAGGACTACCTCCACCCGATTTTCCCCCTTACTAATCCATCCTATACCATCCTCCGTGATGTCCTCGTTTGTAATAAGAAATACTGATATTTGGCCTTCATCCAGTTTCTGACGCAGAGCTCCTAAAAATCTTTGGAATTTCCTCAGTGTCGAGAGTGACAAAGGAGCCTTTTGTGATGTTGATGGTGACTTGGAAAGCACCTGAGGATGGGGCTGGTTGCCCAGGGAACCAACCAGCAGGTTGAACTCTCGTCCCACCCGCTGACCTCCTGAGGGGGAGGGCTGGACGGCTGAGTCAGTCACCGTGGGCCGATGATTTCACTCCTGCACTCCCTAGAAACCAAAGGGGCGGGTTCCGAGAGTTTCCGGGTTGGGGACCAAGCGGAGATGCAGGGAGACCGGGGCTCTGTGCCATTCCCAATGACCCCCGCATCTCCCACCTGGCTGTTTCCAAGTTGTATCCTTTATACTAAACCAGTGAACCAGAGCGTTTCCTGAGTTTAACTGGTTATACCAGTTTAACTGGTTTCCTGAGTCCTATCAGCCAACCCCAAGGAAGGGGTCATGGGAACCTCCCACCTATAGTCTGCTGGTCAGAAGCACGGTGACAACCTGGGCCTGAGACTGGCATCTGAAAGGCCGAGGGGTGGGCTTGTGGGACTGAGCCCTTGGCCTGTGGGGCCTGATGCCGTCTCCAGGTGGGTGGCGTCAGAGCTGAGTTGAACCGTAGGCAGGCCTCCTGTTTGCTGTCCTATCTAGTATGTCCTCATAGCTACTATATTTTTCATACCTAATATTCCACCTGGTCTTTCTGTGGTTTCTTGTTTTTATTTCCTACTGATATCTACTTAGCTATATCAGGGGCGCCAAAAAGCTGTAACACATGACTTGTATTCATCTCTTGTTGTCAATATATAGAGAATTACAATTTTAATATAGTTTTTTCCTTTCTTAAAATGTGTATACATATTTTTGGCACCCTCTGTATTTAACACAATGTTTGCTTATAGTTAACACGATTATTGTAAACTCTTGGCCAATCCACTTGAACAATAATTCATTTATAATATTGTCCATTTCACAGTAGCGACTAGCCCATACCTCTGTGTGAATTTAAAAAAGGCAAAACCCTTCCTTAAATAAGCTTTGTTTATATTAGTATATTATTTATTTCTCAGTAACTACCATAACACATGAAGTCATCCTGTATAAAGTATATAAACTCAATTATTAAACATGAGATAATAGAGTATTTTAATTTTTAGTCAGAAGAATTAGAAACTAACTCACTAGAATATAATACTTTGTTATAAAAATATGTCTTGTTTCATTGAGACAAAAGTCTTTAAATGCATTTCAGTTACTGACCTGCCTCAGTATTTCCTGCAGGAAGAAGAGAGGCCCCAGGCGCCTCTCTAACAGCGGGGTGCATACATCGGTGCATGATGTATGCGGGCGGCCACTGACGAGGCAGGGCGCTCCCCCAGGACCAGGGGAAATCCTGTCCTGCAGCGCTGCCAAGTAGGCTCCGCCAGCCGCTGCCCATCACAGACCCTGGGGCCTCTCACGCTGAGATGGCCTCTGCATGCTCAGGGACCGGTTCCCCACTGGCGTGCATACACCCCAGAGGGAGGGTGGGTTTGCCCCTTCTCGGGGCACAGGGGCAGGCGGTGAGCACTCACTAAGTAAGTGTGGATTGAATTAATGACTCCTCAATCTGACATGGGGTTTGAGTGGCAAGCGCTTGAAATCACCCAAAACATCCTTCTTTCCCTTTCTGTTGGCAAAGACAACACATGAACCCTGTTTTCGCTACGTGTACCTGTCCTCTCTGAGAGGCCCTGATAAGACAGCTCTCCGAAACGCAGCCCAGAATTAAGAGGTGGACAGAAAATATCTCTGTGAATAATTAAAAAAGAAGCCTCCAAGTTCAGGTGCAAGGTCAGTCATTTTACTCACCTAAGCATAGCTGGGCCGTTCACACAGGGACAACTCACGAGTATTTAAGGCCCGATTCTAACATTCAGTGCAGATTAGAACGAGGAAATTCAGGGGTAAGAGGAGAGGTATTGATTACACAACAAGCGGTAACTGTCAGGCTAATAACGAAGAGGAAGAAAAGTTAAGATAAAAGGACATTTCCCTAAACAGTGACGAGGCAGCCTGGGGCCATTAGAGTGGGCCCAGCCAGCCAATGCACCTTAGTGCTCTGGAATGACATCACAGGGTGGCACAGCAAGTTTAGAGAAATCAGCCTGATAAATAACAAACACTATTTTCATGTGGTTAGCATCTCTTCGGGTCAGCAGGAAGAGGTGCCATGTATGCCACAGACGCCATCTGTAATGGACGGCACTCTTAAAGGGCGACTTGTGACCGGTTATCCACGGAGATGCTTGCGCCCTGGGAATTCCTCATTTCCCGGAATGCCTCGCTGCAATCTTCTAGAGTCCAGGTGGGAGGAGAGAGGTGGGTCCCATCTGGCTTGCTTTCCGAGTTCAGTGAAACCTCAGACGTTGCCCCCGCATAACGTCATTCTTTGTTTAGTGAGAAGACAATGACGGGTCTCTCCATCCTTTCTGCCCCCCGCTCCCCACCAGATGCCGAAAGCTTGGCTTCGCGTCCCAAAGGTGGTGCTTAAGTTTCACTTTGAAGTCTTTCCACTTGAACACTAGCACCAGTAGTATCTGATGGCGTTGATAAGGTCACGCTTTCTAAGCTGGAAGCGGCGCCCTGTCCTGCTGGCGGGTGGGTGGAAGGCGGAGGGGTGCCCGCGTCAGGGCCCAGGCCGCCGCCCCGCCAGCCCGGCTCCTCTCGGCCCAGGGCCATGGGCAGCAGCTGGCGGAGACTCTCCCAGCTCCTCTCCCAGCCCCACTGGCTCAGAGGCCGGGTCCGCTCCCGGAAAACAGTGCCAAGAAGTGGGTTTGGCCAAAGAGAAGCCAGGGCGCCCGGTTCCAGCTTCGAGGGCTGCCAACTCCTACTTCAGGCCTAAAAATAGAGGCAAAATCAAATCAGCCTGGGAAGCAGCTCCTAGTCCTCCCGCCCCTCCCCCCCACACACTCTGCCCGCCTCACCTTTGCCCTTTGTCCAGGTGAGAACCCCAGTCACGAGAAAGGAAGAATGAAAGAAGGGGGTGCTTGAGGTGTGTGTTTTGGATCGAACCTTCTTCCCCAACCCTCAGGACCTCAGAAGGTGACCTTGTTTAGAAATAAGGTCATCGCAGATGTGACTAGTTCAGATGAGGTCACACTGAGCACGGTGGCCCCAAATCCAAGATGACAGGTGTCCTTATTAGCAGAGGACAAGAGAGCCACCCCGAGAAGACAGCCACGTGACAAGAGAAGCCGAGGCCGAGTGGATATCTGGAAGCTGAGGGCGCCAAGGCGTGTGGCCGCCCGGAGGCTGGGAGAGGCAGGAGGACGTCCCCTCCAGAGGGAGGCTGTGCTTCCGGCCTCCAGGACGGTGAGAGGTGAACTCCTGTTGTTGTCAGCCGCCTGGTCGCTGGTCCTTTGTCACAGCCTCCCAGGAATGCCAGTGTGCACCCAGCCGCGGTCTGTATCTTTCGAGGTAAAAAGCAATGCTTTCAACACATACGCCAAGAGCTTGGAACGGCCCTTTAAAGAATGCGCCATGTCTCATGATGGTGCTGGAACTGAAACTCAGCTACCTCCCTTCCCTGCTGAGGCCGCTCCAGACCACACCTTCCTTGCGTCACTTTCGAGCACAGAAATCCAGAAAATGTGCTAAGTGCGTTCTTGTTTGCTTCGGTTTGCAACTGTCCCTGAGGAGGCTCTGAGCTGGGTGGTCACTGAATCTAGTATTTGTCCCCTGATGCCTGCCGGGCCCACGTGAAAATGTTGCCAGTCTGTCCAGATCGGGTCCACCCTCAGCCACAGCCTGGAGCCACACCCTGTAGTGACCTCTGAGACGTGTGTATATTAACGTCCTGGGGCCACCGTAACACAGGACCACAGTCGTGGGGGCTTCCAGCCCACTCTCCTGAGTTCTAGCCACCACACTGCCGAGACCAGGGGTCGCAGGGCCGCTCCCTCTGCAGGCTCCGTGGGAGGGTCCCTCTCGCGCCTCCGCAGCTCTGGTGGGCGCCAGCAGCCTTGGCGTTCCTTGGCTTGTAGACCCATCAGCACAGTTTCTGCCTCTGTCATCGCAGTCTGTTCTGTGAACACACCAGGCACGTGGAGCATGCAACCTCCCTCCCCCGCGGGGCCCTGGCCTCTGCACCCCTGTGGTTTTCCAGAGCACCCCAAGGCTTGTTTGTTCACACCCCAAGAAATGCTTCCTCCCACTTCACGCACAAACGCACAACCTTCTGAGAGACTGCCGCCTCCAAAAATATGTTGAGGTCCCTCGCCGTGCCCGGGAGAAGCTCAGATGCAGACCCAGCCACTGCGGAGAGCTAAGTGGGGGACTCAGGCCAAATCCTCAGCAGAAGGACGGGCGGCTCAGGCTTGGGCAGGCTCCCGCTGGGCGGGAAACCCAGACCAAGACGCAGCGTGTGCTTCCAGCAGAAACGCAGGGCACACTCATTTCAGCTATAACAGGACTTAAAACATTATTACGAGACATTTCACACCTTCATACTAAGTCTTCAAAATTGGATGTGTATTTTGTACTCACAGCACATGTCACTTTGGACTAGTCCCATTTCAAGTGGTCGGTAGTGACATGTGGCTAGTAGCTGTCACCTTGGACCTGCCAAACAAAGACAGTCCAGTGCAGCCGCTGAGTGGGCGCCATGTCCACAGATTCTTCGGTCCTCCTGCCACTCGGCTGTGAGCTATGCATACGTCCTGCTTCCAGCAGCTAAATGAAAGGGGGGATAACAGGGTGCGCGTTTGGGGGCTGGTCATAAAGGCATGTGACTGCCACCTTGCTGCCTCTCCCACCATGGCTCTTGCTGGAGGAAGTCAGCTGTCATGCTGCCAGGACGCTGCAGCCCCCCTTGTGGGGAGCCCTCCCCCCGCCATGTCTGACATTCTATGGGTTTGGACAGTGTACCCACCATTATAGCGCCATCCAGAGTAGTTTCATGGCCCTACGCGTCCTCTGGGCTCCCCCGGTTCGTCCCTTCTCCCCCCACAGCCCCTGGCAACCACTGATTCTTTTCCTGTCTCCATAGTTTTGCCTTTTCCAGACGCCATGTAGTTGGAGTCATGTGGCAGCCTTTGCAGGCTGGCTTCTCTCACTCAGTGATATGCACGTCAGTGCACTCTGTGTCTTTTCATGGCTTGACGCCTCATTTCTTTTTAGCTCTGAATAATATTCCACTGTCTGAATGGACACAGTGTGTTTAACCATCACCCACTGAAGGACATCTCGGCTGCTTCCAAGTTTGGACGATTATGACTAAAGCTGCTGTAAATGTCCACGTGCAGGCTTTTGTGTGGTTGTAAGTTTTCTGCTCCTTTGGGTAAATACCAAGGAACGTGACTGCTGGGTCAAAAGGTAAGAGCAATATTTAGTTTTGTAGGAAGCGGCCAAGCTCTCTTTCAGAGTGGCTGCTCCGTTTTGCATTCCCAAGCAATGAGGGACCCTTTCTGATGCTCCCTTTAAAAAACAAACAAGAACATGGGCGGCTGGGTGGCTCAGTTGGTTAGAGCGCGAGCTCTGAGCAACAGGGTTGCCGGTTCGATTCCCACATGGGCCAGTGAGCTGCGCCCTCTGCAACTAGATTGAAGAAAATGACTTGAGCCGAGCTGCGGCTGAGCGGCCGGATGGCTCAGTTGGTTAGAGCGCGTGCTCACGAGTTCGACTCCCATCCATGGGACGATGGGCTGCGCCCCCTGCAACTAGATTGAAAACGGCAACTGGACTTGGAGCTGAGCTGCGCCCTCCACAGCTAAGATTGAAGGACAACAACTTGACTTGGAGCTGATGGGTCCTGGGAAAAACACACTAAATAAAGTTAAACAAACACACACACACACACACAACAACAACAACAACAACAACAACAATCCCACATTTTTTGACAACTGTCTCCTTTAAGAGGAAAAATCACTTGGTGGGGCCGTGGGGCCAACCAGGGTCTACAGAGAAAGTTCACGTGCAGAGGAGCCATGCAGGGCTTTCTCCAGGACACAGGGGCAGCGACAGGGCCTCAGCAGCCAAAACGCCACCGACGGAGCAACGCGTCAGCCTGTTCCTTTCTTCTTGGAACTACAGCATTCGTTCTTCAGCAAGGTTAACATTTTCTTTTTCTTAATTATTATTCAAATAACTGTTCACTACATAAAATAACACAAAAACAAAAAACCTGAAATCTTACCAGTTTGGGTGTACTTCAATGTATTTCCATGCAGACATTTTTGTCTGTAAATACATAATTTTTAAAAGGGATTTCCCTGACCTCTTCAGCCTCCTCTTCCCCAGGCTGGAAATTGTATATATTTTTCTAGGGAGAGAGATTCATTACGTTCCCATCTAAAAAGGTTAAGAACCGTTTGCCGTATTATCATGTAGATGTCACATAAGAAATTGCTCATGTCATATAAATGTCACGTAAAAACCTGACACAGAACTGCCTCCCCAGGTTGGTGGCACGTTAAAGCAGCAGTGGATCAGGGCAGCGCCAACTTCTGCTGCCTGAGCACCTTCTAGAAAAGGCGGACTGACGAGGCTGTGTGTCTTATAAGGCAGACCACGTCCATTCACTGGGGCCCAGTTATTGTGACACTGAATTTTAATTCACCTTCTTTAATTACGCAAAGACAGTTGTTGCTGTGTAATAACCATTCACGTACACTAGCAGCAGGAGTTGGCTTTCATGCCACCTGTCTCAGAATAGCCTCACCTGTGCCTGCTGCACCCAGGGTGTCTGTGACAATTCAGAAAGAGCTCAGAGAAGCCGGCACAGCCAACTGCAGGTGCCTGAGCAGCATCAGGAAGACAGAGTCCATTCGGGCCATCTCTACCAAGGACAGGACGAGGAAAGTGACTGGACCACGGCCTCCTGGAAAGCGGGGTGACCTGTAACGACAGATTTAGATGGCCAGCTAGGAATTCCAGACTGTGCGGCTGGTAAATAGGGAACCTGGCAACCCTTCCCCACAAGCTTAAAAAGAAACAAACACAGAAACTAAGGACACCCAAGGCGTCCAGACAGCATGACACCTGGGGCCCCTAGCCCTTCTTGAGGTTTCTGGAACATTCTGGTCTGTGACATCCTGTCCCCAGCACCCAGGCCTGTCCCGTCCATCTTGTCCTTCTTGTGCAAGCTCGTGGACGGCCTGGGCCACCTTCATTTAAGTGGCTCATTGCCTGTTACCCCTGGAGCTAAACAGGAAGAGGAAAGGGGGACTACACCAAGACCCTCAGAAGCTCCTTTCTGCAAGCCAAGGGGTCCTGTGCTCTCACGTGCTGCGTGCGTCGCTTGTACTGCTGCTTATTGTCTGTTTGTTGCATGGAAAACAGCAGAAAGGCTCAGTCTTGCATCGCCCTTATGTGTCAGGCACTCTACATGTTTTACAAACATTAACTCAGTTGCTCCTCAGACACACCTGTAAGAAGTACTATTAACCCTATTTTACAGATAGAGAAACGAAGGCAGAGAGAGGTTACGTAACCCAAGATCACGTAACACAAAAGTGACAGAGCCAGGCGTGGGACCCCAAAGCCAGGCTCCAGAACCTACGTGCTGCACCGCTGCATAAAACTTCCCATCCGTTTCACTTTGAACTGATCACATGAGGCGATGGGTAGGACTGTTTTGAGGGGCATAAAAGTGAAACCAAGGCCATGGTATCATTTATCACAGCTTGCTAATAAATTCACGTGTTCTCCAAGTTTCTGCCTTCGGACTAATGAGACCGGTCAACAGTGAGAGTAGGCAGCAGGAGCGGGGGGATGCTCTCCAGGCTTTGGGACAGCGGAGTCTGTGTTCTGCTTGTTTAGCGGTCACCGTACCGGGATTTTGATCCTCTCTGACCCTCAGTGTCCTCCTTCAGTGTCCAGTGAAATGGAAGCTTGGTCCTGCCTTGCTGAATTCAATATAATATTGAATAATTATTAGATGGTTGCCATTCTTTAAAAATAATTTGTAGGGGCCAGCTGGGTGGCTCCGTTGATGAGAGCATGAGCTCTAAGCAACAGGGTTGCCGGTTTGATTCCTACATGGGCCAGTGGGCTGCGCCCGAGCTGAGCTGCCACTGAGTTGCCAACAGGTGGCCACTAACAAGTGCTCCTAACAAGGTTTCCGGTTTGACTCCCGCATGGGGCGGTGTGCTACGCCCCCGCAACTAGATTGAAAGCTGCGACTGAACTTGGAGCTGAGCTGCGCCCTCCACAACTAAGACTGAAAGACAACAACTTGACTTGGAGCTGATGAGTTCTGGAAAAACACAATGTTCTCTTCCCCAATAAAAAAATCTTTAAAAAAATAAATAAAAATTTGTGCCCAAGTAGGAGGCTTTCATGGTTGAATGGGGGAGAAACATTAAAAAAACAAACAAACCGACACTGCAAATGAATCTGTGATATAATTGAGGTTTGAACTGAGTAGAGAGAGTCCAGAGTGAGATGGGACTAAATGGTGTTGGGAAAAGCTTTGCCTGAGTTGTTGGTAGCGTGGCCCTGATATATGAATTTAGTCTCTGAAATGATACGCATGGTGCCAGCAACTCTTTGAGGTTTTGGTTTCAGCAGTAAACAAAACAGACCAAATCATCTGCCGGTAGGGCCTTACACTCTAATTGGGACTAAAAAGTCAATGTTGTATACTAGATAATGCATGCTAGAAAGAAAAACAGAGCTGGGAAGAGATGGTCGTGGGGGCAAGTTGGGTAAGGAGAAGCAGAAATCTGCAGAAAGGATAGTCAGCGGCAGCCTCACTAAGACATGATGCTGGGAAGCTCCCGGCCTGGGAGCCCCAGAGCTTCAGTGCAAGAGGCAGGGGCCCTGCACCGGCTGGGTGGGCGTGACGTGGAACCTGCCTCTGCGGTGTCTCAGTCCCTGGGGCCTGGGCGGCCACACTGGCTGCTCCACAGCTTGGGAGGTCCCTTCTTCCCTCGCTGCTAAAGGCTCCTCTCCATGTCACCGTGTGAGAGCTCGTCCCTGGTGGCCTAGCTGGTGGGGCTAAGCTCCAGGACGGCTTTCTCCCAGCCCCTCCCAAGGCCTCGGCCCTACTTTTGTCTTGTGAGGACGTCCCAGTCCTTCCAGGGACCCCCGAGGCTGCAGAAGCTCTGGTCCTGTGTGACCTGCACCATCAGCGCATAGATCGCTCGGGGCTCACCCAGCCCCCCACCAGCGTCCTGCTGAGTGGGTTCCTCTCCAGCAGGACATCAGGTTTCTCCCCCCCCCCCCTTGCAGGCAGACCTCCCCTCTAGAGTTCCCGTTGTTCAGCCAGCGCCCCAAGGCCAGTGGGCGATCGGGGGCTGATGGAGGCAGCGCATGGGGCCCAGGCCGTCAGGTCCGAGGGGAGAAACTCCAGTGGGGTTCAGCTTGCTCCCGAAGCGCCCGGAGCCTGGAGTGCATCTACAGGGAGCTTCTCCTGGCGACGCGCTCTCAACCCTCGGAGCCCGGGGCGCCGCCAACACTGCCCAAGCTGGGGCGACACGGGGGCAGTGCGACCTCGGCCAGTGCGCCCCCGGGACGGGCGACCCCTGGACGGGCGACCTCGGGACTGGCTGACGCTGAAGCCCCGCGGGCCGCAGCACCCCCCCCCCCCCCCCCGGGATCGTTCCCAACAGCTGCCTCCCGGCGGGGCTCCTCCCAGACCTGGCGGAGCGGCGTCCGCGTTCCCGCCGCGCCCCCGGGACCCCCA